GTCGATACATTTTTAAAAGTTGTAAATTTAAAAGGTCTGTACTGCAATACAGGTTTATTTCCGTCAAGTTTATGCATCTTTAAATAATGTAAACATAAGCGCACGTACACATACCAATAAACATAAATATTTTTCCTGATATCTTTTTCAATACCAAATACATTTTCATAACATTTTCACAAGATAAACTTTAAGCATTCTTAACAGACAAAATATTTCCTTTAGACATTATAAAAGTAAACTTTAATATCTTCAATGTCTGTCTTTCAATATCTGCAAATCATGGGTAGAGTAGATGTTATATATTACGTGACATACAGATTCATGAATATTTTGTTCGTTGGGATTTGCTACATGTACTCCGATGAGTTGCCGAAACTGAGAAAAAATGGAGAAAACCGAACCTGAATGATTTTATACAATTTTCAAGCATAATAAATAAAACATTCTTAAATTTCAATGGCAAAACTCACCTTTTGATTGAGGTTAATGATACACTACTTTTTCATTGTTTTTTATTAGCACACATGGTGAGCTATTGTAATGACTCTGTTATTTTTGTCCGTTATTTTTGTTCAACATCAATATAGAAAACCCCCTATGACTCCTGGTTCAAAAGCTCGTCTATTTTCAAAATGGCCGCCATTTTTGTCTCATGAAATTCACTTTTGGACCATTTTCTTTCAAACCTTTGTCGATAGGATTCCCGTTTTAAGTTATATTTATTCAACATCAATACAGAAAACTACCTTATGACTCCTGGTTCGAAAGCTGGCCTATTTTCAAAATGGTCGCCATTTTTCTCGCGAAATTCACTTTTGGCCCATTTCCCAGCTTTACAAATAATTTCAAATGTCCCGCATTGTAAAAAGCCATGTCACTGAAAAGAGTAGTTTTATGAAATAGTTTTGTCACAAAAGATCGGCAAAAATTTTAATCCGTTTTTTTTATTTTTAGCAATTTTAGTTAACATTGATTTGTCCATGTGTCTCACGAAATCCATTTTTGGACCATGTGCCCTAGAACCTCTGTCGATAGGATTCCTATTTTAAGTTATTTTTGTTCAACATCAATACAGAAAACTCCCTTATTACTCTTTGTACAAAAGCTCACCTAATTTCAAAATGGTCGCCGTTTTTGTCTTGTGAAATTCACTTATGGCCCATTTCTTAGCTTCTCAAATAATTTCAGGTGTCCTGCATTGAAAAAAGCCATGTCACTCTAAAGAGTAGTTGTATTTTTAGCCATTTTAGTTACCATTGATTTATGTCCTCTATCCTCTATTGTGAAATTCACTTATGGCCCATTTCCTAGCTTTACAAATAATTTTAGGTGTCATGCATTGTAAAAAGCCATGTCACTCTAAAGAGTAGTTTTATGAAATAATTTTGTTGCAAAAACTTGTCAAAAATTACATCCATTTTTTCGGCCATTTTATCCATCATTCACTATTGAGCAACACCATGTGAGCCCAGTACATACGGTACTATTTATTGTTGTCTTGTCATAAAATATCATGTGATGTTTTGTCATGAAATAAATTCGTTGTTGTTTTAACACTTATGTTAGATGGTTTAACATCTTAATTTCATTATTTCTTTAATAGAAATAGGTGGTGGACTCACAGCGGACAGGATTGAAAAATCTGATATACCAAGCGAAAACAAGAACAAAGATGCTCTGATGGTTGGTCAATCAAATTCATTTACGAAAAAGTATTGGTATTATCCTCCAGCACCAGTTCGATGCGCAGGTCAATTGTTCGACCCTATACGCTACTTTTGTTGTTCCGCGAAACTCTACTGGAAAACCTTCTTTTATCGTTATTATTGGCATAGTAGGGTGTCGTATGTTGACGCATGTTGATGCGGAACACCGTACAACTCGCAGATATCATTTTGCTGCAAAGATAAGTTATATTTGATCGAAAAGATTGGCCGACCAGGTTATGTTGGTTCCTGTAACGGCAACGCATACAACAAGGACAATCAATTGTGCTGTGGTGGAAAACTGTACAGCGATCAATATGGATGTAGGTTGCAATGCTGCGGTAGTAAAGCGTACAGTAAGACAGACGCATTGTGTTGTAATGATATACTAATTCGGCGTACAGGAGATACCCCGATATCGTGCTGTGGGAATAATGTTTACAATCCTCAAACTGAAAAATGTTGCGGAGATTGTGCGACAAAGTTGGTGTCAGGGGAGAAGTGTTGTGGGGAAGGTATATACAAGCCTGCAACAGAAATATGCTGTAGGGGAAAGGCGTATCCCAAGAGCAGATACAATTCGTGTTGCTGGAATGCTCCTCATGGAGTCGACAGTCGTCCATACAGTAGAAACTATTTATGTTGTGGGAACAGAGTGTATCCAAAACTTTTCGGCACTGGGACGAAATGTTGTAGCTGCTACATGAACGGGAAATACATTGCAAAGATTTACAACTACGCAAAAAGTCGATGCTGCGGGTGTCGCGTTTACACTATGCCCAACCCCAGTTACACAAGTTGTTGCTGCAACTATAAATATTATTACTTCAATCGCTACTGCCCGTACTTCCCGTATTACTATTACTCCCCCAGGCCATACTATTACCATCACAACTATCCGACATGTAGACTTATAGATCCATCTCAACATGCCTGCTGTAATGGCAATGTATTTAATAAGTTTGGGCCGTACGACAGATGCTGTAACACTGCACGTTACGATAGAAGATATTACATATGCTGCAATGGACAAGTGAGAAAGAGAGTGAGCCCAACGACAACAACATGCTGTGGAACAGAGCCATATAACTACCGTGAAAACACATGTTGTTACAACAAGGTAAACCAATTTTCGTTGCATAAATTCTTGCAAATATGGTTTTCATACCAAATATGATAAGGGAGATTTATATCTTGCGAAAGTATCTCAAATGAATGCATTAAAACACCATTTCTTCCTTCAAAGCTTAAAATATGTAATACTGATTGAAATACAAAATATCACTCGATGATACATAAAGGTTCTACGAATAACAGATGCCAAACGCTCGTGTTGTGGATATGAACTTTACAACTACAAGACACACAAGTGCTGTAATGGCATTGTGGTCCCCGGTAGAAACAATCATATATGCTGCGGGAATAGGGCGTGGGACGGCACGCTGTATGGATGTTGTGGCAATGAACCGTTTTACAAGCCACGGTGGAGTTGCTGTAATGGAAAGAAGGTCAAAGGTGGAGGCAATGATGCAAGGCTAGTAAAATAGAACTTTTAGTAATCAATTAAAATTAAACCGTAATTGATAAATAGTTTACATACTGATAAGTGCGCTGATAGTGGAGCTAGATTTGTAGGTTTCAAAGAAGGTCTGTCCTTGATAAAGATGTGATCATGAAAAACGAATTTAACTTGTTCAAAATGTTGATTGATCTACGTGCTTTTTAGATTAATCTACTCGCATAATTACAAAAGCTCAATATTATAAAAATCTAGCGAAATAAATCATTGGTATAAGGTATAAGGTTGATTTTTCTGTAATATAGAGATCGACAATATAAAGGTGGTTACCCATTGCAGGTGCTGTGGACTGAAGACGTATAACAGAAACACACATTTGTGTTGCTGTAGATGTGTTCATCCGAAACAGTCCTCGTATCAGAGGTGTTGCTGGTCCCGCTCATATGACAGGCGAAATCAGAAGTGTTGCCGGAACACTAAAACAGTTGTTCCATCAAATCAAATGTGTATTGCCGGGAGTTAAAGGCAGAATCAGATCTATGGGGGTGACAAAATTACAAGCAACATGTTCAATTGACCTACCGATCTGTTCCTTACAATCTCAAATACAATATCTCCCAAAAGATCTTCGATATATAATAAATTGGTGAAGTTATAATGGATTCAAGGTGCAAAAATGGGTGAAAAATGTTTAAATTCTCCCAAATAATAAGAATGGTAACCATTCTTATAGAAAAATAACACATTATTGTAAAAATCTTTAGTTTTCCTGAAATAAAGTGTGCACTTTGGGGATTTCTAGAAAATAGACATGAAAAGGAATGACATAAGCCAGAAATATTTTAAAATTGAAACAATTTTTTGTTAGGCTGCTCGCTATCTCTGATTCTCTCTTTAACTCTTGCTGGAAAAGTTCTTTTCATATGAAGCGATGCATTTGTAATGTGTAGAGTTAAAGATATGAAGTAAACTACAATAATACAAGCACACTAAATCTTTGTACTTTCCTCAACGGAAGTGGACGATTTGTTCATTTGCTTTAACTATGAACGTGAAAAGGGCTCCTTGTATGTATATTCTATATCTTTCATTGACACTAGATGTCCTGACACGACATATTAGTCATATCATTTTTATCAAGATAAAGGCAAATAAATGTCGATATCTGATAAGGGTACGGTTTTGGCATGCGATCATACATTTGCTATCAGTTGCGATCACATAAGGATTAAGATGAAGGTACATTGTAGTTGTCAAGATGGCCCAAACACGAAGGACACGTTTTCAGCATATTGTTTAAACATTGCATTGTATAAACATCTAGATAATATTGAGTTATTGTTAAAATCGTTTTAACTGTGGAAAGTGTTCAAAATTTCACCCAAACCTTGTCACCTTTGTTCTGTAAATGTTAAACTTTTACCATGCGAATGAAACATCAAATGCGGAGCACTTAATTGTGTCCCAGTTACAGCCATCTTATGTTATCCAAGATGATGGTGATTTATGAAATGCAAAACCATTATTGAAATGAAGCTTACAAAAATAAGGAAGACCATTCGAGTACCCCTAACAGAGTAACCCAAAAAGAAAATTACGAAAGGCTGTGTTAGCACTCCAGTATATAAATTGTTCTTATAAACCTTAAGATTTACCTACTCACATATATTTACACAGATTTCTTATAATTAATCTAATAATAAATATATCTAAAAGTAAGAAATTTTCTACAAGTATTACAGGCAATTTATTTTTGAGCATAGCATTCACACATCTTCATGAAAACCCCCTTTTCAGGAAAATCTTTTACAGAGAGATTGAAATAATAACATAAATCTAACTGTCATGTTACTTGTTCGATTGAATTGGTCACATGGTGAATATAAGAGTGTAGTATTTCCCTATTATGCTTCAAAATACTTTGAACTTTGTTTGAAATGTGAATATTTCCTTCACATCATTTTCTATCATCTAAACCTTTGCCCCTTCATATTCGATGTCATATTCAATTCAGGAAATAGCAGAAATAGATGCGTTACAATAGATGATAAAACAAATAATTCTTCAATGCTCAGGAATGATATCTCCTTTGTCCTCCTAGAATTGGGGAATTATTATTTGATAAGGATACATTCGTTTTTCTGTCAACAGAAGGAAGTGTTTGTGTTATATTAAACCAAGCTACTTTCAGTCAGATATTCAGCTTTCAAACAATCATACTAATTGTATATCCTTCTATTTTGCCTGCCCTCACTCATATCGCTTTTTTCCGAGTTCCAGTTTAAGGTCCCTCCAAAATTTCCGTTGGTTTCCTTCTTCTTCACTCCACTTTAGGCAGACATTGTGTCTTACCATAAGTTTAAGTTTGTGTGACATATCTTTTTGTGGTATGTGTTCCATCAGAATAACTATGAGTGTGTGGCGTTTGGTCTGGGTGAGCATATCTATAGCAGAGTCCATTTCAAACTCATTCCATCCCTCCTTCATCCAGCCTCGTGTAACCAGGAAAATAATGTGGCGGCTACGGTCCATGTGGGACATTAATCCACCAAAGTAGGACTCTTGTCCTGGAATGATGTTATCATCATGTATCAGTGAGAATTGAACATCCCCGTTAGTCAGTTCTGGTGTCATAACGTCACGTACCCATATGCGTTTCTCAGAATGGTAACTGATAAAAGCATCATATATTTCATTGTCTTGGATGACATCATCATTTAGGATATCATTTTGGATACCATTTTGATCACCAATTTGAATGTACCCATTGTGCCGTTTTGCTCTCCTGACCAGCTGCATGTATTTAATGTCTTTCCAGAAATATTTCAAAAGTGAAGCAGTTATTACTCCGACCAGAATTACACTGCTAATTGAAAGAGAGATGATTCTAACAAAGGCGTTCATGTTGCATTGCACCCATGTTAATTCAAATGTCAACAGTTCATTATGTGTTGGCCCAGTTGAGGAAGCACAAAACCTATCATGAGTGACCCGTGTCTCAGATGAATTCTTTCTTCGTTTTAACCAGTTCATAAAGGGTTGCGTTGCACAGTTACATTCAATTAAGTTGTTTTCGATGCTTATCCTTGCAACTTTAGCAAGGGCTGTTCCATCAATTAAACTGATGGCATTCCCAGTTAAGTTTAAAAGTGTAATTTTGTTTTTTATGTTCTTAAACAAGCCTTCTTGGATATAAGTAATTCTATTTTGACTTAAATCTATTCGATCAGCAGAGAAGTTTTGAAACATACAAATCGGAAGTATTTTGAAATAGTTATCCCTAAGAATAATAAAACTTGTCCTGACTCCGTTAAATAGTTTACACAGAGTAGTATCTGAATAGCGAAATAATAAATTTCCTGATAGGGTGAGGACGACTAATCTTGATTTTGTGATCACATTTAAGACTTGATTGTGATATGCTGCAAATGTTTCACCAAGATTGATCAAATTTAATTCAGTTATAGATGAAGTATCATTGCTGAAAGTGAAAATTAGATGATCGAAATCTAATTTGTATAGAGAAAGAGCTCTCAATTGCTTAAGTTCACTGAAACTGACATTAGCCTTGTCTAATCTTCCATAAACTACAAACATATCATGTATGTGTAGAATTCCGAGGTTTTGTAATGGTGATAAAGTTTTACTGGAAATATGCATGAAGTTTGATATCTGAAGTGCTTCTAATGATTTCACTGGTACAAACGCATCAGCTTCAAATGTATTTATTTGGTTATCATCAATACTCAATATTCGAAGATTTGAGTTTTTAAGGGGCTCAAGGATAGATGAGTTGAATTTATCAATGACAATGCCACACCCTGTCATTTTCAGTCTAAATATAGACTTTCCCTTTAGGCCTTCCAGTAAGTGCATCAAATTCGTTTTACCAAACTTCATATTTCGCTCAAGTGACAAACTTTTTATCTGGTTGATGTCGTGAAGAAAGTTGGGTTCTGTTTCCTCAATAGCATTGTCAGCAAGGTTTAGTTCCAAACAAGTAACATTCATAAATTGACTCATATCAGCTTTAGTGACTGATTTAATATTGTTGCCTTGTATGGAAAGATGGAATTTCTTACGTGGACCAAGGTTCCCATCGAATTTGAGACTAGTTATTTCATTGTTATCCAAATAAAGTTCCTTTAAGCTTACAAGATATGATAAAATGACATCAGGGATTCTCTTTAATTTTATCTGATTGAGAGTAAGTTTTCGCAATCCATGGAACGCCTTGAATAGCTGGTAATGCTTCAGTATGCCTTTGTGTTGTAAAGTAAGTTCCTCGAGGAATGGGACAGCTAAGAATGTGTCATTTTCAATGTGTTTTACTTTTCCAAGAGTTAATACTTGAATTGTATGACAATTGTAAAGCGTTTGATAATTCAGGAATGAAATACCTTCTTTATCTTTTCCAATATCCACAATCCTTAACCACACTAATTGCTTTATACCTCTGAAAGCATCTGGCTCCAGTATTGTAATATTACATTCTGTAAGCAAGAGGAATTTTACTTCCGGCAAGTTACTAAATGATCCATTTTGTATGGTACCAAAATTAAATCCAGAAATTTCGAGGCGAAATGTGAAATATGGAAGGCAGGAAACAAGTTCAGTAAAATTTGTACTTGTCTTGTTGGGTCTGTTTTGATGACACTCGCAAATGATTCGGTTACCCCATGCTCGAAAACATTTACAAAAATCACAGTTGTTTTTCAGTTGTTGTTTAACATCCTCTTCAGAAGTATCTCCAATTACATATGTATGTAATTTTACAAAGTCTCCAGTTATTGATCCATCTTTCAATGTTTCTTTGATGAAGTTTTCATCATAATTTTCTTGTCCAAACCATGTCACTTTTCTCTTTTTGAATTCCAAATGTTCTTCCATTAAATCATATTGCTTTTTATTTGTTTCAATGATAGTATCTTGTTCTCTGAATATTTCCTTGTTGCTCCTCTTCAACAATGTTCCTGACGTGCACAGGCATATGATAAAGCAAACTCCGAAAAGCATCTTTATCGGTAGAATGTTCAATGTTTTCTACAAATGGAAGTGATAAATCACATATCAAGCATTAATGTTGCCTAACATAATTTTAGATCAGTTTAATGTTTAAAAGGAAATTTGAATTCTTGAATGATGTCATGATAGATATGAGGAAGTACCTGTAGTATTTATTACATATATTTAAGTTATCGTGTCTAACCAATGAAATGTGTCCAAGTTAAAAAAGGTTGGCTATCGAGTTAATATAAGGAACATATACCAGCATTAGCATTAGTAACAAAATGTCGGAACGTCGAAGGTACGATTTTTCCTTTTTCCTTATTTCACAAGTTGTAGGCAGAATCCCCATGACATTTTTATCACAAACGTATATCAGTATCATTTAAGAAGATGTACATATTTGCAAACAAATAGATCAGAAGAAAACAGAATCGTTGATTTAATTCCTCACTTAAGTTACGTAAACGGGACTTCAAAAACAGTTAAGATCTGCACTTTTAACCCGTTCCGTTT